GTAGACACAACAGCCATAGTCCTTTTCAGAAGCATCGCAGAAACAATGGAGGAGGTAATTTCGATCAGGGTTTGATAGAACTCGACGAGGAATGGTTAGCTGTTGGATGAGGTTTAGCTCACTTCGAAATTCCTTCGACCACACACTCTCCTCGGTGGAAAGTTCCTCATCCCACGGAATATTTTTTGCCCAAAGCCGCTGAACGAAAATTCTAGCACTAATCACGATCGACCCAAGGAGCCCTAGTGGGTCAAAAAGCTGAGCAGTTTCAGATACCACAATGCGTTTAGTTACGTTGTGCAGTTCTGGGAGTGGCGGAACCTTGAAACCGAAACTGTCACTTTGTGGATTTCACAGAAGACCTAAAGCCGTCACCGTCGGACGACAAATTTCCATCTGAAGGGTGCTTTCCCACAGGTTACTAGGAATGTGATTTAAGATACTCTGGTTGTTGCTGCTCCATTTTCTCAACGAGAATCCTCCCAGGCTGAGTAGCTCTAGTAGTTGACGACAAATTTCTGTGGCTACAAACGTCGTCAACGTAGAAACGCTTGATTACAACATCCGCAGCGAGAGGGTATTTGTGACCATCGTCTTCGGCAAGCTTGATGAGCACCCGCGCAGCTTGGTACGGCGAACAAGCAAGTCCATAAGTCACCTTTTTCAGCTGATAGACGTGCAGTGGCATAGATTGTTCCCGACGCCATACGATCTTTAGATACCGCCGATCCTCAGGATGCACCCACATTTGGCGGAACATTTTTTCCGCGTCCGCAGTGAAAACGTACCGCGGCATCCGGAAATTCAAAACGCTGGATAGCAGTGGTGGTTGTACAGTGGGGCCAGTGTGAAGAATATCGTTAAGAGAAAGGGCACTGGATCCTTTGCTGCTAGCGTCAAAGACAATCCTAGTTTTTGCCGTGCTGCTTTCTGGCCGATGAACGGTATGGTGCGCGACACGGGAACCAACTTTCCATATGCCCTAATCGTTCATAGTCGTCACATAGTCACATATTCGTCACGCAGATCGTTGTCTCGAGCGAACCGTTTCTCCATAAGCAGAAAACGTCGTACTGCTTGGTCGCGGGACCATGGACTACCGAAAAGGAAGACGTACAATGTATCGCCCAGTAGTATCGCGTGACAGGGCTTGAAGAAAGTGTTTTTCGACATCCTGTTCTACCTGGGTGAGAGTCTTTTCGACATCGAATTAATTACGTGGGATGCTCCACCGCAAGATATCAACATGGCAACTAGGAAGGCTTACTGTGAGTTTCGGGAGAACCAAGCAATCAATATCTTGCACGAATTTTCCGAAACGGGATGCAAATGAAACTTGTACTACACAGTAACGTACACTGTCCATTGCTTGACCAATGTCGCCCACAGGTAGATTAATACGAGTGCGCTTCAATTCCAACTTCCGACACAAAGACTCTGATACGAAATTGGATTGTGATCCACTATCGAGAAGGGCTCTGGCGTAGTGACCAATACCATCAGCATCCTGTACTCGTACCATCGCAGTAGATAAAAACATCATCGCATCTCGTGGCTTGTTGGATGGAGTGGGCGACATCACGATATCGTAAGAGCAAGAGGGAAGTCACAGGAGTGGAACTTTGGATCAGAAAGTGGCTCCACTTATCATTTGCGAACACTAGCGCACCTAGCGGTAGAAGGCATCTTCTGCCTGCAGTTAAGATAGGCAGCATGCTATGATAGTGTGAGTGCACATAGAAAGCCCGTGTGGAACGCTACCACAACACATCGCTTGTTGAGCAGAAAAACGAACACTTTTTGATTCACCGATTTGTTTGCACTTCTCCTTCTGTTCTGTGGGGAAGTGGTTCATTAGATTCGGACCGATCTTTCGAGTAAACCGACGACGAGGGAGATGAGCTACTAACGGCGAACGACTGCGGAGACGATACAACTACCGACGATCCCGACGACGACCCGTTTGCCTGTGGTGAATTACGCGAAGGCGCTACCGATCCCGAAAACGAAGTTCCCGCCAGAGGGAAGATGCTGTCTGTTGAATAAACAGCTGTGCATGTTGTTGAGGTAGAAGGCCTTTCTTCCACAACGCTCGGGACAGATGCAAGGGGGGGAAGGTGAAGTAAGCTATGGTGTTTCTTTGCACACGTCCTGCATAGGCTACTGCGGCAGTCTTTAGCCAGATGTCCTCCTCGCAAGCAGTTGATGCAAAGTTGATGTTTTTTGACGAAATCTAACCGATTGTTTGGCGATAGTTTCGAAAAGGCCTCACACTGAGAGATTACGTGAGCCTGTTTACAATTGGGGCATTTAACTACGCTCTCAGAGACAATGTGAGAGGATGATTTACCTCTAAATGGCTTTGTTGGATGCTGTATGCAGACTGGGGTTCGGTTTGCACATTTGTAGTATGCGTGATTGTTTCAAAATAATGCTCATCAAATCTTTATACTGTGGAACCACATTGTCATCACAGATTTCTCATCCATCTGATTCAAGTTTGTCCAAAATGCCTACATGGCGGTTGAACTCGTCAGCCAACTCGGCAAGGGCTGAAGCTGATTCCCTTCTGACGTGGGGATCCTTTAAAATAGCAGACATATGTTGCTTGCTGAGAAAGTTTTGGGTTTTCATACCGGTCACTGATCGTTTTCCACGCGACGGGGTAATTATCCGAAGTGATAGCAAATGACGAAATCAAACGACCACCTTTCAACGCGCTACGTAAATAGTGAAGCTTTTCAATCACTAAAATTTGGTTGTTGGAGTGTACTTAGGATTTGAACAAGTCGCGGAACTCGATCCATTCATCCGATTTTCCGCCGAATTCGGGAATTTTGATCTCGGGAAGCTTCACAGATACGGAATGGTTAGCAGAGGTTACATTTTGCGATGACGGACGTGGGCCATCCATTTCATCCTCCGTATCCTCAAACTTCTCTCACAGGCCATCTAAACGCTCAATTCTTATAGCAACTTGATTGATTTGGGTAGCCTCAAACTCTTCATCAAACCGTTGAATAAGTTTAGCAGAACCGAGTATGTTGTCTCTTCTACGGTGTAGACTTTTTAGGTAGATGCAACACATTTTTCCGCAGAGAAGATTTTTTGGGCTAACTCATCTTCAATTAGTATAGACAAAAGGTACCCACCTGCCTTGATGCTTCACATACGATCGTCACGTGATTGTCGTAACCTCAACTTCTGGAACAATATATCGGAGCCAGCGAACCTTCTGGAGTCCTCCTTTTTCCTGATGATCTGCAGGGCACGTGCGACGAGAAATTTGACGCAGTAAATTGGCCAACGACAGTGACGAGATCTAGCGTGCTCTATCACCCACGGTAGAAGATTTCTCCTTATCCAGAACGATGTCCTCCTTCAGACGACGAATGGGAATTCCTCCCGGGTTTCGGCACCATAAATGTTCGTGACGCACTCGCGAACTTCTCAACAAACGACGGCGTACCAGGAGTTCAAGAAAAACAAGTCAGTTAAAACTTGGCGGAGTGAACTTAACTGACTCGAAGGCGAAACGCGGCGGACTGTTCGACCTCTTCGGATTTGGAATTGAGACTCGGGTATACGTTTGATGAGTTTGATGGCTGTATTCATACTGAAGTTCAATCGTTTTACAAATTCATGGTTCTCCTATCTATCTTATCAGTGAGTATCTGTAGGTGAGCAAACAAAAAGGAAATAGATCAACACGAACTATATTGGTTTCATTTTCAATAAGTTAGTTTCGAAAAGTATAACAAAATTAAGCTCTCGACAAACGGAGTTCCAATTTCCTGGTCAAACCAAGTGAAATGTCTTGGATTAATACTTGACCAAAAATTAATTGGGGGCATTCAAGCCAAATGTAACAAATATATAAAATGTTTGTATCCTCTTATAAACAGGAAATCCAAACTTTGCCTGGCGAATAAACTTCTAATATTTAAACAAGTTTTCAGACCGGCCATGCTTTACACTGTGCCAATATGGTCTAGTTGTTGCACTACCAAGAAAAAAGCACTTCAAAGGATTCAGAACAAAGTTCTGAAGATGATTTTGAAGTTGCCTCCCTGGTACAGTACTACCGAAGTACATAGAATTTCGAATGTTGAGACTTTAGAACAAATGTCCAACAAAATAATTACGCTAAATTAATTCCCTTTATACTTAGATAAGATTTATATTTAGTTTAGTTTAGTGTTCAGTTAAAAATTTTGCATTTATCTATTAATTAAAATTTGAAACATTAGAAAATTAAAAAAAAAATGAAAAGAATGATAAGTTAGTAAATGTTCAATTGTGAGCAATACTAATTTATTAAAAAATCTTGAAATCAGTAAATCGAAAAGTCCTTCCAGTACAAATAAGAGCCAATATTTCGCTTCATCCTCCCTACATTCATCTACTCCGATAACATTTTCACCTCAAGCGCCGCATGGCACCACGAGAAACACATTTGCCCCATGTCGACGTCCGAAGCAAGTATTCTTCTCTCGCACGCGGTCATCTGGAAATAAGGCCCCCTCCTCACCGACCACGACCGACACAGCAAATAGCAGGCGACCAACGGAATTTGCCTAGGTCCGTTTCTACAGTTTTAAAGTTAACCCACGGTTCCCAGCTGATGACGTTCTGCGCGATGCTGCACACCGCAAGCATGAATATACACATAACGGTCCACGGATAATCTACATAATTGCAGTACAACATAGAACATTTTCTCGCGTCTCACCTTCCGCTGCTGGAAGCTAGAAGGCCACCTACAACAACAACAACAACAACCAATAAGACTACTATGATTATGATTTAGAAAAGCGCTGCCATGCCAACGCAACGACAACGCCAAGAACGAGAACCACTCTCCTCAAGGCCTGCTATTTATGCAAGAACATACTGCCGAGCTGAGTAGGTACTCGCTCACACGACCCCACAGTCAGAGGGAGACAAACCAAAGAGGGGAGAACACGCGAGATAAAGAGGTTCATTGAACGGATGTCAAGAAGCGTTTATTTAATTTGCAGTTTGGTTCTCGGATAGATAATGGCCGGGAAGATTGTTTATCACCTAATCTGGTTTTCCATCCAAAGTGCTGGTAGTTGTTGGCGGCGATGATCGCTGGGCTGGTGGAAGATCATTAATTTTGGCTGAAGAACGGCTGCTGAGCTACAACGAAAAGAGCAAAGAGGAGAAGATCATTATTATTCGTACTTTTGACGTGTTGAAATATTACAGGTTTATCGCTTTGGCATCTTCTTCGGGTGGTGCTGATTGGAGGTCACCCGCGCCCCGTGAGGGTTACATTGTGGGGCCGAGGAATGTTCGTAGAGATGATCTGGATCGCTTGGGAAGGAATCGTTGAAATAGCCACGGGAAGGTACCACTACGTCACATCACATGGGTTATGGGAAATATGTACCAAGTGAAAGCGAGGTAGCGGCGGTCCCCCATGACCGGGAGGAGGTGCGGAATCCGGGTGGCTAATTGGAGGTCGTACAGTTGATTGGAGCTGAAATAGAAGATGAGGCAAACGTTAGTTGCATTATGCTGATTTCCTTGCATATTTTTTCAACAGCCCTTTGGGTTGAATAGAAATGGTTTAATTTTTAAGGGTTATAACAGATCCATTCAATCCTGCATCAAATTCTCTTTCTTTAATTAGATATGTAAGTTAGATGCGATCTTTTGATAGCTATAAGAATCTAAAAGTAAAAATTATTAACATTTACTTCTAGATATTATTGTTACAGTAATGACCAGATATAGCAAGACCTCTTTTTGGAAAATCTTTCTAATGTTCTACGAAACCCATACGCTTTTTCAGTGGTATTATTCCACAAAGCATACCTTTTTATTTCCATCGTGAAAATGAATGGGAAAGATTTGGAATTACGGTTACGTGAAATTATAGAGACAAGATAAAAATCTGATTTGTCAGCCATATATTTTCTGAATGACAAATTTGTAATAGCTGATAAGACCACTTGAGTGTTTTCGGCACCCTTGGCAATCCATGAAAATGACGCCCCTTTCCTAATTTATTAAAAATAGCGAACAGGTTGCTAAACAAAAGGGGGATCCGGAATATTTCTTTACGTCTGAGATTTATAAAGTGAGTCTGCTTCTTATCCATTTTCTTCTAATTCTATTTTCAGAATTGCACTGCCTTTCTACGCATATCTGTCCCATGTTCTAAAAGTAATATCTGAGAAAATCGCGAATAATGTTTCGAATCATTTCTGCTCATTTGAAGAATTATAAGTTATAACAAGTTAGAGTTCACATTTCAACAGAATCAATTCGTTTTAGTGAAAACTATTTAAATTACCTTCAATGAAATTAGTTAAGCCTATTTTTATATGAAAACAACTCAGTGGGACTGTTATGCCGAGAAATTTGCTATGAAGTAGGATATTCTACGCATATCAGTACCACTAAGAGCTATTACTTTCCGTGTTGCTTTGATGACCACGTTGCGTTTGACGTCTTTACTTTTGTGGTTGTGGTTATGTTTACATGAGCGTGCTTGTGTTCTGTGCGAAGTTTTGAAAGTGAATAGTTTGAATAGGTTTGCATCATTAACTGAAACCAACAATAAGTGCGTTGACATTGCTGCAATCGTCGTTTGCTACATCTATAAAGCCTTTAAAGTAGGGGCATCTGTGCTCTGTGTATAACAAATAAGATTAAAAATTAAGCAGCAAAAAAGGGTTATCTTCCATTTAATTCCTCTTACATAATTTTGGTATCCATGACAGATACGTATTTCGACTACAATGTGCAGTCTTCATCAGTGTCATTCCCTCTAAAGACTTATCAAAAACCAAGCCCCCTTAAGTATTCATCCCCTAGGTAAAAATGTCAAGATCAACCGGTTTCAACTACAACTACTTTTTTAATCATGTCAATATTGGAAGATGTCTATGCATCATTGCAACATACAATTGAATTTTAAAATCATGTTACTTTGTCTTTGATTTGTCTCAAGATCATTACACTGCTTCTTATCAATTGATTATTATTACTCTAATAATGCACAGTTTGCAATCTGAACGATAATCTGGTGTTTTAATATGAATTCCCGTTCCTCTTAATATTTTTCATCACAAAATAAAGCTTCTAGTTCCCGAAATGACTCATACAGTTTCTTTTGATAATATAAATCCGGTTCAATAATTCGTGCACTCAAATCGCTTCGTTAATAGAAGATTCAGTAAAAAATTCTTTGTGGGCCAGTTATGCGTTGAGTTTCAACATGGGACAATTAGACTTGATGTTGTTTTTAAATAAGCCCAGAACAAATACAATTGAAATTCGCTGGTTCGACTTTTAATATTTGGGCTGCTTTTTAGTTGGGCCTCCGCTGGTTGGGCCATGGCCCAATTAAAAAGCAACTGGATGTCAAAATCTCATGTCAAATTGAATTTGACAATCGAACATAAATCCATTCAACGGGGTGTCATATGCGTTTTGGACAGCGCATTACGTGTAATAATTGTACACATTTGGAATTTGCTCGAAAATTTTGAGTTTTATTTTGAATTCTAAAATGAAACATGAACTCAGTTGTCAGTTTCAAGCAACTTGTTTCAATCTGCTTTTAGTGAAATCTTCGCAACCACAACAAAGCATGTGTACACCCCCAATAAATTTTAGCCTTCTGTCAGTTGACCCAACTAACGCATCGAATTCGTTAGTTGGGCCGAGGTGGTGGCCCAACCAGCATAATTTGATTGTAACATGTTTTTCTATTTTCATTCGAAAGTTTACCTAAAAAAGTTCTGTTTTATGAACAAAAGTGAAAAACGTCCAAAAGTTACATGGGACAGATATGCGTAGAACGGCAGTGCAGTTCTTCTTATAATTTCATTGGAACCATCACACTCAGATTCACATTGAATTGTTGTCAGAATTCACTAGAAGTTCCTGTCAGAATGTTCTGCGAGAATTTATTTGAAATAAACCACAATCAGAATTATTTTCAGAATTTTGATAACTCAAAATTTTAAATCAACTAATCTGTAAATTTTACATACAATTTAACGTCAATAGCTGACTGAAATTGAACATTTTATACGACAGATGAGAAGATGAAAGTATAGAGTTGATAGTTCCGTTTGAGTACGGCAGTGTGTAAATTGTATATAGAAAGTAAAAAGCGAGCGAAAGACAATTTTGAGGAAGGTACGAATCGAATCGAGCATTCCCTTTGCCAAACTCATTCGTTGATGAGGGATGGTGAGAGGAAATATCTCCCAGCCACCCCTGGCGATTCGCTTATGTACCTCCGATGTATACGGTTCTATCGATTGTTACACAATAAAGTCACCATCTGACGTAACCATCTAGTCGACGGTTTGACCATGCAGCTATTGTTCTCCACTTGCAAAAGGGAATACAATTTTCAAATTACCGTACTACAACGGAACTATTATTTCTATAATTTCATCTCTTTTAAGTCATTTTAAGTCTGATATTAACGATATGCCTCCAAAGGCGCGCTCCTTTGTCAGGAAAAAATGGATTACTTCGCAACAAAATCAAGCAATAACGCCCATAATGGCCATGCATCAGAATCCTAGTCTTAGCCACTTCAAACTAGAGAACAGCGAATTAAAGATTAGCATTCACGTAGAAGAAAAATAACTACCTAACTCATTTTTGACGTAGGACTACGTCTTTCATTTCTATACTGGTGATACACTTTGTGAAAACCGAAAATGGAACATGTAACAAATTATGAAAGATTTTGAACATTAATAACTCAGCTGCTTCTGGACCATTTTCAATAATTTTATCACCAACCGATCAAAAATCTTCCGACGCATCTACAACATTGCTTCCGCATGATGATTTTTAACGTGAAAGTATTAAAGAAAGTGGTAATGTCAAGTATTGTACAATGTACAAATAAAAAGTTATAATGTTATCACTGTTTTCATGAAATAAACGTTCTTCCCAAGCCCAGTCCTCATAATCGAGTACCACTTGGTTGCACATCATTCTGCTTTAACCTGAAAAGGTATAAAAGAGCGCTGCTGTATGGCATTAGCTCATTTTCGCTTCGGACGGAGTGGTGAGCAGCAATAGCAGCAGTAGGAAGGTGGTGGCTAGTCCACTCCTTCATACCCAACAAGCAACAATTGACTGGTCGTGGCAAAGTTCTTTAGGATAACCGCCATCGGTCGTCTGGCTCGCCGTGGTGGTGTCAAACGTATCTCCGGTCTACGAGGTGTGCTGAAGGTGTTCCTGGAAAATGAGGTCCGTGATGCTGTCACCTACACTAAACACGCCAAGCGTAAGCGGCCATGGATGTCCTCTTCAATAAAACGGCTCTTTTCAGGGCCATCAAGCTTATATCAGTAAAGAGTTGGAATAGAATTTGTCTGTGCCTGTTTGTCCATATTCAGAACCACAAGCCCCCAACGACCACACAAAATGCTCTCCAGAGTTGTAATCTTGTAACCATACTTGGAAGCAGCGGTGCAAGTGATTTTGATTGATTCTCTTAATCAACTTTCTCTTTGAAAAAAATTAATACAAATTTGGTACGCCTACAATTCAAAAACGGAAAGAGTTGAGATAATAGACAATTGATCAATTAAAAGAACTAAATGCTCTTCACATTTATTCCATCCACTAGCGGTCCTACGTCGAGCTTCCGTTCGTGCCCTTAGGCACATACCCTTCTACTTTTTCCTTGTTTCACAAGATCATCCTCGGTGGACAAAGCCGAGTCTTGTCACTATCAACAAGGCATGAACAGAAAAAGAAAAAAAAAGGATTAAGATGTGCTCACACAATTATAGTAATGCAAAAATGGTACAGGCGTCGAAAGCTCTCAATTAATAACTGAGGAAGTGACTACGCAAGTACCCAACAAGCTACAATTAAACAAACATATTTTTTCTCCATACAGTATTACCCTCTTTACTACCAGAGAGCAAAAGAGCTCAATCTCTCAATATGTCATGTATGTTGATGACACTCTATTTGTGATTTCCCTCTCACAGACTACAAAATATAGTACCTGACACAACAAAACATATCTGGTACCTATATATATGCATTTAGATTATCATCCGAAGTTCCTCCTTTTTTACATATTCTGCACAAAATATACTTCTTGAGGCGGGCACCCCATTCATAAAAATAATGGCGGGAAATCAGTAAATTTGATTGGCTTCTTCTATGAAGTTCATTGAGCTTTTTTCAAGTAAGATCTCTGACAAACTGCTCCGAAATTCCTTAGAATGCACTTATATGAAGTTTTATGTAGCTTCTCCAAATGCGATGAAATTCCAAGGGGTATTCAACTCTGCACACCTTAGTCTGTGCCGAGCGTTTTAGCTGAGCCGAAAGTTGTGCCAAGCACTGTGCAAATTAACGTGTCAACATCGCATAAGTTTGGCAACCCTGAATTTATTATGACTTTCGTGATTGTTTGCGTTGACAAGTTTGCTGATGGTTTGCAGTCTACACTGGAAAAGATTGGTCTTTCATAGATGT